CTGGGGATTCGAACCCGCCACCTTAGGTGTACATGGCTGGCGCCTTAGCCGGTTGAGCTATAGGCGCCGAGCCAAAAAACACAACTATTTACTGGGGTGGCACCTGTGGCTCAAAGGAGTAGGGCGCCAGCCCCATATGCCAGAGGTGGTGGGTTCAAACCCAACCCCGGCCAAAAACAGCAAAAAATAAAAAAAACTATTTATTGATGGGCACCCAGCCCCTGTAAAGGCACTGAGAGGAGAAGTGACATATTCAAGGTCACACAATGAAGAAGTAGAGGAGCTGGGATTGAATTACTAGCCCTCTGGCTCAACTGAGCCATATCTTTCTCAGAGACTTCATTGGTCTCTGCCACATAGGGAAAGATCATGTTCTAAGCAGCTAATGAGATACAGAGTGATGGGGTTTTGATGGGGGAAGGGCAGGGACCCAGGGAAGGAAACAAGAAGGTCAGGTAAGACCCAAAGATGGGTCCTGAAAGAGATGGGCAAAATAGATGGACAGACAGACCATCCAGCCAGTGAGAGTGGCCAGTACCTACCTCCACGGTCTTGTAGAGGAAGGAGTACACCAGGGAGGCATTGGCATTCTTCAGTGTGGTGGCCACCACTGGAGGGAACGAGGTTAAGGAAAAGGTGCCATTTTCCGGGATTTAAATGGGGTAGAGACCTTGAAGCTCCACCCTGTCTTCTGCCACTACCCCCTTCTCTACCTATCTCCCCAGCCTAAGCCATCACAGATGTGCTGTGCAACTCCTATCCTCAGCCCACCCTCTCTGGGCCTGAGCTGCCACCATTCTGTATCTCCACGGACCCTGCCTGGGGTGGATACAGTAGAGGTTGCTGTGTTTGATCCATAGGAAGTGAACTTTGCCATGGCTCAGCAGAGGAGCTAGGGCACCTTCCTCTTCCCGCTGCACAAGTAGAGGCATAAAGTGTTCGATTTCACTCATTGCCACATCGCCCTTGTAGTTGCGGCTGATCAAGGGCTGAGGGTGGTAGAGAAAACCTTGTCACCAACAGCATCCAGAAACCTACCATACTGGAGCATCAGAGTGCCTAGTTCTGAACACTTCTTCCTAGCTGAGTGGCCGGACCAAGGCTTTGTCACTCTGTACCTCAGTTTCGTCCTCTGTAAAATGGACAAGTGATAACAATGCAGCTAGACCCACCCTGAGCATCTGGCTAAGTTCTACTAAAAATTGGATGTTTTCTAAATTACTAGTTCTCACCACAATCCTGTGAGGTAGGTGTTATCATCACATCCATTTTACAGACAGGAAAGTTGAGGCTATAAACCACATCCATAGTAAGCAAGAAAACTAAGAATTCAACCATGACACCTTGGGTCCAGAATTCCTGCTCTTGCTTCAGGCTTCATAGGTACCAAACT